GATGAGGCCAGGATTGGCCGGCCGGGACCTGTCACGAGATCTAGGAGCCGTGCGCAGACATGACTGTATTTATAAGCAAGCTCTCCCAGCATCCTGATTATACCCTGACGATGATGGCAGTTTTAGGCCATCGAAAGCTTGGTTTTATTTATTAAAACTGTATTGTTTTATACTTCCTGGTGATCACTTTGTTGTCTTTAAAAGAGAAAATATCTGCTGCATATGCTATGTGGGCATCAGGGAAGGCATCCTACCCATAAATGCTCATCTCCATTCAGTTGCTCCAATTCTACCCCAAATTAAGAGATTACAGGATTGTAAAAAGGAAAAGATTGGCCTATGGAGCCTTCCCTTCCCTTTCTTCTAACCAAAGATTTTCAAAACTGTGTTTAATCAGTCAGCACCTACAAGAAAGTCTGAAAGTAACTTTTGATCCATAATTATACAAGTGGAGAGCTCTCTAGCTCCAAATGGTTGGATGCCCTGGAGAAACTGAAGTACAAAGAGAAGAACACTCTCATACACACCACTCAGAGTATTTTGCAATCTCCTTCCTGGCAACACAGCTCTCTGCATATCCATGAGTTCCCTTTTAGCAGGAAGAATAACTTTTCCGTTGTTTTCCCTTCACAAGCTTGATGAAGACGGAGCGAATGCAAAGTTGATTTGAAATTCTAGGGAGGTAGCACAAACACAGTGGGTGGAAGCTAGCTAGACGGAGAAGGGGAGAGACGGCGAGAGACGGGGAGGCTTCTGACATCTTAAAGGGTAACAGATTTATATGGCATAAAAATTTCAGGGATGTGACAGTAAATCTGCTCCTGGTAATGAGCTGGAAGAATTTGCTTTGTGCGTGGAGTTTAAAACAACCTTAAAGTCTGCTTTTATTTCCGCCCCCTCTCCTCCCCTCTTCCAAGCCTTCAAAAGGGACAGGAAGAATTTCGCACTTGTGGGTTTCTTTCACACTTGATGTGTCTTTCACACACGGGTCTCAGCTTTGCAAAAAGGCAAGGGGTTGATCAGGGTGGGGGCCTTTCCTGTCTGAAAATATAAAGCTCTCCTGGTGTGTCTCAAAGACGAAATGAATGTTGGCATTAAGAGGGAAAAAAAACTAGGAAAATGAAATGCCAATCTGGTTCGGTCTAAATCCTGAATGAGTTTTCCCCCCTCCCCATTCATTCACGGGAATTCTTCCCCGTCAAGGGGGAAAGTGTGATTTTTAAGGTCAGATTGAATGTTAAATATTAAAATCAACACGGTTTTAGTAGCTCCATGGGACCGTGAGGATCTTTCTTCAAAGTTGGTGATTAGGCTAATGCAGCAGTCTCCAAAGTTGACAACTTTAAGACTTGTGGACTTCAACTCCCAGACTTCCTCAGCCAGGTTGGGGAATTCTGGGACTTGAAGTCCAAAGGCTTAAACTTACCAAGTTTGGAGACCCCCCCTAGACCAGGGGTCTTCAAACTTGGCCCTTTTTTATGACTTGTGGACTTCAACTCCCAGAATTCCTCAGCCAGGCATGCCTGGCTGAGGAATTCTGGGAGTTGAAGTCCACAAGTCATAAAAGGGCCATGTTTGAAGACCCTTGCCCTAGACTAATGGATACAGGCAGTCCTCAACTTACGCCATCTGGCCCATTGAGAGGCTGTGACGGTCATAACCGCAAGCAACAGTTGGAAATCCCTTTTTTTCAGTCGTAAGTTCGAATGGCCACTAAACCAACGGTTGTAAGCCGAGGACTACCCTGTATATGTAAACCCAAGCCATCATTTCTTCTGACGTGACGATGAGAGCAAGCGTTGGTCCTTTTTTTTTTTTTTAATATTCGTTTCCCACAAATTGTTTCACAGGACAAATGACCAGCTTGTCGCGTTCCTGTCCAGATACCGCAACATGAACTTCTTGAAGTCTCACGGAAGGGACAATGCAAGGTAAAACGGCACCTCTCTTGCATATTTTGACGAGATGATGAAAAATAGTGAGGTAACTTTTCTGCAAACTGGAAAAAAAAAGCTGGGTTGGATTAAGCAATCTCATAGGAAAGAAATGGGAAAGGTTTTCAACAGAGATCCGATCACTGGCCTGAAACTCGACAACCGACAAAATAATAACAAAGAGAAGATCCCACCTCGCAATAGCAAATAAAGTTCAGCCTCAGAGGTTATCCCGGCTTGTGACCACAAGGATGTGGATGAATTAAATCTGCTGATTAATTTAGTGATAAAATGCACTAATGTGCCATTTGGCCTCACTTCTGCAGAATAAACGTCTGGGGCTTTAATAGATTTCTCCAGAATACATACACAGTTAATTACATCTCAGGATGTTGATGAGATAGGGGCGTGCCCTTCTTTTCCATAGCAATTTATGTATTATTCAGAATCACTTTTCAAGGTTTGACCTAAAGGGGTTTTAGTCTTGGGTTGTTGTTTTTTTTAAGATTGATTGCAAGCAAAAGAGAAACAGCGTTGTGAAACTCAAGAAATACACCCATATCCAGGAGGTGTCACTCAGATCTAGCAGAGATTTCATAACAGCTTCAGAAAGCATTGATGCTTATTGTTTTTATATTATTTCCCTTCTGTGAGTGGCCATTGAGGCAAGGGACACCAGAAGCATTCATGACATCATCATAAAACATAGACATAGGGTTGAAAGGAAGGTCATCTAGTCCAACCCCTAGCTCAAGCAGGAGACCCTCTACCAGGGGTCTTCAAACTTGGCCCTTTTATGACTGGCTGAGGAATTCTGGGAGTTGAAGTCCACAAGTCATAAAAGGGCCAAGTTTGAAGACCCCTGCCCTATACCATTCCAGACAAATGGCTGTCCAGACTCTTCTTGATAATCTCCAGTGATGGAACATCATCATTCAGAACTTGACTTCTACCCCACAATCATGACTTCTCTTGATACCCCGTGCTTCCATCCTACTCTACATCCTCCATAATTTTCCTTCTCTCCATCTTTCCTGTCACAATTGGAAAATCAAGACTATTTTCAACTCAAACAAGGGCAGAAGTTTGCCCACCTACACAGTTGGACCTGAAGTTGGACTCTCTGTTTGGACAGAAAACATATGTCCCTGTATGAAATGTTTACACTACATAGAAAAAAAAGGTTCATATGGTGTGTCCTTTTAATGCTTTTTTTTTTGTTCCTATGCGCCTTGTAGCCAAGGAGTTGTCTGCAGAGCGCTCAGTGCAATTAGGATGTTAATACGGGAATTTAGATATTTGCATTTATATTGCGAATATTTGAACCGATTGTCATACAGAATGGGCTTTTGTAAAGATTAGGGCTGGGTTGAGCTTTTCAGGGGAGCCTCACTTGTGATAAGCATCCCTTAGAAGTTGTCTCGCGAAGACAACTTCCCGCTTCTGCTACAGATGTGGGGTAAACAGGTAGATAAGTCCTGTAGATAGGTCGATCCTGGCCCTCAGCTACTCATTCAGTTCTTCCCCCAGGATGTAAAGATACAGAAATATCCTTTATCCCTTAGCATCTCCTGATTTATCTGAAGCTAACAAAAAAAGAGAAGCAACTCAAAATAAGTAACATTTGGAACCAGACATGCTTCAATAACAATTTGGAAGTTGTGTTATTGCCATTTCCCTCTTGGTCCACCCATTCCCTCTTTTCCGGTCTCAACCAGGAGATTATCTCAACCTTAAGTGGAAAGGCTGAAGACCGAACCTGTGACACTTGTGTACTCTTGTAATGATGAATTACCCATTCAGTGCCGGGCACTCCTGCAAGTTTGTGTAAAACACAATTATCTCTGTAGCCTAGCATTTTTAGCCTTGTGACCCTACCCACATTCATGTTCTCTCCATGTTTGAGTTGAAAAGAGTCTTGATTTTCCAATCGTGACAGGAAAAATGGAGAGAAGGAAAATTATGGAGGATGTAGAGCAGGATGGAACATGAATGTGGGTAAGATCACAAGAATGGATCACATGAATGTGTGTTGGCTTTATATCTTCTCCCTCCATGGAAATTTCACCCTGCTCCCCTTGTTGGTGAATTTGAGAATGGTGTTTTCTTGAGGTGCATTTGGCTGCAGACCTCATGCTTATTTCATTTAGAAAGCAGAGTGTGCTAATTGCGGGAGTGATGTCGCCCTTGAAATATTAGCACGTTTTTAGGGGGGAAAAGGAGGTGAAGAGGAATACAAGCGCAAAAAACTTTAGAAATATATCTACTTTACCGAGAGTGTTCTGTTACACTGAGTTCCCCGGTATAAACGCACCTGGTTTGCTCTAATGAAACAATAAACCCTTTATTGCTTGTACTTTGCACCCTGCCTTACTTGGCTCTTTTAAAGTCCACACAATTTAACAAATGCGTTTTTGAAGTTGCTGCTAAAAAGAAAAAGGGATCTTGCTAAGAAAATGGAGTAGAAAGCATTGGCTAAACTGTTGGAAAACAAGTTAAGGCTGGATTGTGTTTCAAATTTGAACTGTTCTTCTTGGAACAGGTAAGATCAGAAGCTCATTAGACTAGACCAGGGGTAGGCAACCTTGGCCCTTTTATGACTGGTGGACTTCAACTCCCAGAATTCCTGAGCCAGCCATGCTGAGGGGAAAGGGAGAGGTTTCCAAGCTGAGCCATGCTGGCTCAGGGATTCTGGGAGTTGAAGTCCAGGAGTCATAAAAGAGCCAAGGTTGCCTACCCCTGGTCTAGACATACCCAATTCCAGCAACCGTTCCTTATATGTTTTAGCTTCCAGTCCCCTGATCCTCTTTGTTGCCCTTCTCTGCACTCTTTCTAGAGTCTCAGCATCTTTTTTACATCCCCATGAAGGTTCTACCTTAGACCACATTCTTGAATATCTAATCATGACTAGTTTTGACTAGAGTTGCCCCCACATACTATTGGCAGCAGTTGGTCATGAAAATTAACATGCCTTGATGCAGATATTCTCTGCAACCTGATACAAATATTATGATAAATCATGGTGTCTTGACTAAGCCTTCATTGGCTGGACTAACTCAACATGCTAAACCACCATTCAAATTTTACAAAGTGTAATAGTCTGTAAAGCATAAAGTCATATCGTGGTTCAGTGAGATGAACCCAACCTGGTTAGCTGGTTTTGGATGAAGTTTGAACCCCGTATCTCTTATCAGCATCTTAAAGCATTTTAAACTTGGCATCCATTTAGGATAAAACAACTTTAATAGTTCAAGGCCCTGATATTGACCGAGAAGTTATAAATATTCTGAATAAACACATGACACATCGGTTGTGAAATGTATGATACCCTGAACCTCTTTTAAAATTCACTGCTCTGTGCAAAAAAAGGGTTGCTGTGTTTACATCTGGAAAATTACAGATGAATCTCCACTGGAAACTTGTTGGTAGGTTGAAAATAGGATATCTTTTCATACTATTCTGGAATGTTATATATTTTCAGAGTCAATACGGTTCTTTGGGGGCTGTATTGAAAGAGGATTTACTTCCACGCTAAGTAATGACTGCTAATTTTTGAACTAGCCAATCGGCCCCATCCTGAAACAGATGTTTCCATTCATTCATCCTAGGCCTGTAGCAGAAAGCTGGGTATTGAAGTCCATTCTTTTTTTCTTTTTCTTTTGAAGAAAATTGGGAAAGCTACAGTTAAACAGCTCATTTTGTAGCATTGGCATCATTTTGCTGGGTGGATCCCGTGACTCTGCAAACATGTGTTAAAAGGAACAGCGACAACCCATTTGTTTAGGAAAGGCTCCCAACAAATCTGTTTGTTGTTAAGGAGAGTGAAGAAGGGGATATGAGGCCGTCATTTGCAACGTCGCTTAGACGTCATTGCCACAAATTGATTAATGTCAGAAGATGAATATTTAAATGGCTGGTGGTCAGAGCTGAGAGAGTAATTTCTTTGTTCCTTTTGCTAGAAATGCTTACTGCAAATCAAATTTCAGCTGCTGCTTCCTCTTCTTCTTCTTCTTCTTCTTCTTCTTCTTCTTCTTC